TCTAGATTTTCGGGTGGCAAATATCTAACAAAAGTTAACTTTTCTGAAGATTATCGCGTTGAGAGATTGTTCGATAACAGAAGCAAGTTACAATTCTTATCATTAATGGGTAAATTCAGTGTCGTTGCTTTATTTGCGAGTCGAACTGGTTTATCGCTCAGTTCTGATGACCAATTAGTTTGATTGAAACTGTTTGAAACAAGATGCATCCTTTTGCGATAAAATACAAATAATTTAATACTAGAACCACAACCAAATTGTTTCACAACCAAATTAAATTTCTAGCGATCAGTCGGTTCATTTTAATGTCTTATTTTTAATTTCGCTTTTAATCGCCAACATGTTTGACCTCGAAACTTTCCGAAATCTGAACGACGAATTGAAATACGAGCTGTATAAAGACTTAGTCGAAAATGTTACTTATTTTAAACGAATTATCGAAAACTTAACTGTATCAACGAAAGAGGAAGAAAGAGGAAACAAATTTTTTGATCTAGAAAATTTTAAAAACACGGGCGATTCGAAAATTACAGAAAACAAATTTGAAAACGAATGGAGCAAGATTGGAACTCGGAGCAGAAATCAGAACAAACGAAGCGAAAATAACCAAGAAAGCAAGAATAACCAAGAAATCAAAATACAAGCAACCAATATTCAAGAAGAAAAATTCGACCAGCAACGAAAACATTTATTTTTACCACGAGAAGGAGAATATTCTGGCCTATTACTGGGAGACTCAATTGTTAACAGAATCAATGGGGAACAAATATCGGAAAATGTGTTGGCGAGAGGATTTGGTGGGCACAAAATTTCTGCATTGCTGGAACGCGTGAGAAACAGTAAATCGCGACATTTTAAACATGTAACTACGCTAATTGGAATAAATGACTGCCTCTCAAGTGATTTCGACGCGAAGGAAGCCGTGAGTAGCTTAGAAAAACTAATTTATCTCATAAATCATAAATTCTCCCCAGAAACAATTTCACTATGTACTGTAACTCCCTTAGGCGCTTTTAGAAAAGATTTTAATCCAAATGTACAGAAGCTAAACAAGCAAATTCTTAATTTAGTACGGAATGTAAAAGACTTGGGCGAAGTAAAATTGGATATTTTAGACATAAACAAAAATTTTAGTCAAAATACAGATGCTCTTAGCTCGGATGGTTTGCATCCTTCTGATGGGGGTGTTGAAATTTTGGTGCAAAGTTTTAGAGATTCTTTTAGGGGTTCTGATATTAATGCAAACACATGTGAGATTACAACCCGCCCCAGAATGAAGCAAACCCAACAATCATCAAATTTAGATCCAAAAACGGCAGAAATGTTACAATTTTTCCAAAACGGTGCAAAATTTTTTAGGAAATACTAGTTTCGCATTTTTTCTTGGTGCAAACTTTGGCGATTATTTAATTTATTTAACCTATTATGCTGAATATTAAATTCTGGTTGTTTTGTGCAATTTTTCTAATTTCCAAGGCTCAGATGGAAACTAAAGAAAAAACTATTGTTTACTGGGGCTATCTAAGCTGCCAGCAAAAGATATTATCAACGAAATGTGGGATAAATGAGCGGAGAGCTACCACACTGACTCATCTTTTCCTTTTCGCGTTGTTACTGACCCAAAGTGGGGATGTTGAAAAAAACCCTGGTCCTATCGAAACCATTGAAACAGTCTACGGTATCTGCTCAAAAAATTGTGCAAATCTTAAATTTGTTCATTTGAATTTTCAAAGTATTATTAGAAAACGGATGCAATTGAAAAAATTTCTTGATGATATGGGCGAAAACACAATTATAGGAATTTCCGAAACGTGGCTTAAAAAAGAAGATAGTGACAATTTATGGAATTTCCAACCTAGAACGCATGCGATGTTCAGATATGATAGGCAATCAGCGGTAAAAAAGAAAGGCGGTGGCGTTTTGTTATATATACCAGTCAAATTGGCTCCGAAATTGAGGCCTGATCTAAATTTATTTGATAAAAAAAATATGAGTCAGTGTGGGTTGAGTGCAAATCTACATTTAACATTTCGAGTAAAGAAAAAATGTTAGTTAATTTGTGTTATAACCCAAGCAGATCAAACTTTATTGATTTTTTGGAACAATTAACGCTTAACATAGATAATGCTTTTTCAGTTTCTAATAAAATTACGCTTTTGGGTGATTATAACATAAATTATCTGGATAGCAAAGAAAAAGAAAATTTAGATTCTATAATTATTCCATATGGATTGAAGGTTTTTTGTCCAAACGATGAGACCAGAATTAGTTCCTCAACAAAAACTCATATCGACTACATAATCAGTGACTATGAAACAAACGGCATTGAGTTTTGTTTTGATACACCTTATAAAACCGACCATTTTGCTTCATTTATTTTGACGGATATAAAATGCGGCAAAATTTTACCGAGGATAATTACGACTTTCAATAAGAAAAATTATCAGAAAAATGAATTTTGCAATTCACTCTCCGCTCTTCCTTGGTATCTCTTATATCAATGTACAGACGCACAAAACATGTTCTCGACGATGATTTATTTAATTTCTTGTGCTCTACAGCAACATGCTCCTATCGAAAAAAAGTTTGTTCGTAATTTTAAACCAAAAAACGTGTTGAAAACGGAATGGTTCGATTCAGAATGTCAGCAATTGTTGACTAAGAAACAGAATTCACTCAGATCATATCGCAGTCAAAGCACAAGCGATAATTGGTCAAAGTAGCAGTTTTTACGTAATCAAATGAGCAAATTGATTAGAAGTAAACAATTCGATCATTCAAAAAATTGTTTTTCACTTCTCAGCACTATCCAACAAAAATGGAAATATATTAACCAAGTTAGAGGTACATGTTCTGGCAACCATCGAATTACAGTTCTACGAAATTCCTTCAGTGAAATGATAACCCAAGACAAAAAAAGTGCCAATCATTTAAATTATATTTTTTCAAACTTAGGCGAATTTTTCGGCGCTAAAAAGCCTCCGAATTACAACAAATCTGCCTCTGAATCTGCATCTTTTCATTTTCAACACATTACAGTGAAGCAATGCTTTGATATAGTTCGAAAAATCAATGTTGGAAAACCTCTCGGACCTTGTACCGTACCTGCTTGGGCAATCATTGACGGTCAATCAGTTATAGTTCCACATTTAACTTTTGTCATAAATACTTGCTTAGATGAGAACATTTTCCCGATCGAACTGAAAAAAGCAAACGTAACCCCTTTGTTCAAAAAAGATGACCCAATGGATGCAAAAAATTATCGGCCAATATCAATAACTTGTGCTTTTTCTAAAATTTTTGAAAAAATTTTACATGCCCAAATAACAGAACATCTTGACAAATTTCAAATAATGACACCATTTCATTTCGGATTTCGCAAAAACATTTCAACACAAGATGCTCTTGTTTATGTGACAGAAAGTATTCGAAATCAAATAGATTCAAAAAAAATCGTACATGCAGCTTTATTAGATCTGTCCAAGGCTTTTGATTCTATTTCGCATGAAGTTTTAATTGAAAAAATGCTTTCTCTCGGTTTTTCAAATGGAGCAAATGCTTTAATTGCTAGCTTCCTAAACAAACGTATTCAAAGAGTAAACGTCAATGGAATTTTTTCAGACTGGATTGAAATAAAACGAGGTGTCCCACAAGGAACGGTACTTGGTCCGTTGTTGTTCAATATTTATGTTAATGACATACAAGAGCGATTATATGAGGGTTGTACTTTAGTTCAATATGCTGACGACTGTATGGTTTTTTCCTCTTCTATAATTTCTGAGGATGCTTTGAATCGATTGCAAAAATCACTCAATAATCTAACGGAATTTTTTGCAGAGAACCAATTGAATCTGAATGCATCTAAATCGGAATTTATAACATTTTGTCAAAAAAATGATAGCAAAAATGTGGATACTGATAAACTAGTAATTAGTGGGCATTATGTAGCCAAAAAATCAGAATGCAAATATTTAGGCATAATTCTTGATTCAAGTTTATCTTTTCATGCTCAAATCAAAACAATTCTCCAAAAAATGGCCCAAGGGATTAAAACTATTGATACAATTGGACAACAACTGCCGACATTATCATTAGTTGCCTTGCTTCATTGTCTTGTTTTATCACATTTAGATTATTCAGCAATTTTTTTACAACAAATTAATGCTACTTTGATGCTATCTCTGGAGAAACAGTTGAACTGGGCGCTAAAAAGAACATATTTCAGATCGAATTTTAAATCTTCTTCCCTTCTTCGCATTAGCAAATCGTTCATTGGAATCGAGAAAAGAATTGAGTTAAAGTGTATAACATACTTATACCAATATCTTACAAACAAAAAGAAGGCTTTTGAAAATACACTGAGACTACCGACTGCCAATTATAGGCTCAACGAAAGAACGAAACAAATTATTTTTGACAAACATTGTTCGACTGCTTCTCTGCAAAAATCATTTTTTCATTTGACTTCTAAAAAATGGAATTCACTGCCCATAATTTTGCGCAATTTAGAAAAATCGAAAACAGAATTCAAGAAAAAATTGAAAGAATTTTACGTGAGTGAATTGAGAAACAATCCTATATGTACTAATACAAATACGTGGCGTGATTACCGTTTTTGCTAGTTCTATATTTTTTAATTCAGTTTAATTTTTCACACATTGCTTGAAAGAGAAACTGTATATACTCTGCATATACGTTGTATAATTGGACTATCTGTAAAATTGTTTGTAAAGTTTTATTACCAGCTTGTTCCTAATTCTTAAATCTTTAATTTTCTATAGTATCCGAAACTTCATATACTTTAATCAACCAATTTCCGAACTGTAACCGATTTTGTTTTTTTTTTGTTTTGTTTATTGCTTGTTTTCTGATGTTTTGTTTTTGTTTGATGTAACCAATGAATTTATAACCAATTTTATTATTTACACTTTGCTACACTGATGCCTCGGCTTTTTATTGTATAGTAATTCAAGTGTTCTTTCTTCTTCTTCTTCAGAAGCTTTGCTTTTAGAGAATCTGAAATTAAATTTGATTGCGATTAGTATCATCAAGAATTGGCACAAATTTATTTTGCAACCGAGAGTAAAATCCCCTTATTGATATGTTACTCTAATTTTTTTTTGTTTTGTTTCAAAATTAAAAATTTTTATTTCAACTCTGAACTCAACTCTTGCTATCTTTTCAGAAGTATTTAACGCGCAACTGATGTTTTCAGCTCAGAACATCATAGCCTTGAAAACGCAAACGGAAACTCAACTCAAACATACTCATTCAAATTGAAGTTTCGTAGACTTCTATTTCTCTCAACCACACAAACTTATCAACTTCAAAGTATGTGATTTTCTAGACCAGATTACTGGTACGTAGCCGCTCAGATACATTTTGAACATCAGAATCTATGTAAAAATAGTTAATACTAAATTTTTAAAGACACCATTGAGAGTTGATCTTCCGAGCTGTCACAAAAATTAAGATGCAGGCAAGTTTTTGGAAAAACAAGCGAAAATGTCTTAGAAAAGTTTTAGAAATGGCCGTTCAAAAATGGAACGTTCTGGTTAACAAATTTTTCCAAAGGGTATAATTTTTGGTATAATTTTACGAGATCCATTTTTGCAAACGAGATCCATTCTTAACAAGTTTTATTTTCAACAACTGAAAATTTTGAAACAATTGACGCGACTTCATGGCTTGAAAAAGAAAATTTTACACATAAAACTATCTAGAAAACGTCTCAGCTCAGCTTACAAACTCAGATTTTCTGTTGAAACAAGTTTGGTAAGCTTCACTTCTAGTTACATGAAAAGATGCACAAACTTTATAGCTGATTAGCAATTAGTTCATATATATTCGTGCGGACAACGCGAGGTTAACAACATTGCACTAACGTACCAAAACTGACTCATCTGAATCAAATCAGAAACCAATCATGACTTTGAAAAGATGATTAAAGCTTTTTCACAAAGATTTATAAGCCTACATGAAAAAACTTTAATATGCAACTGCTTTGAAAAGATTATTTAAGTTATAAAAATACAATTGTAATTATCTTTTTAAGAGTGGTTTGACATCACTGCATAAGAGACATACAGAAAACAATCATTACACTTGGTAACAGAAGTTATGACAGCTGGCTCTTCAGAAAATGATCTCTCCTCGATTCCAACCATCGACGAAGTGTTTCTGGAACAGAAGTTCTCGACTCGCTACAAGGTGTTGATGATAACTTTGGGATCTCTGGCTTCGACTTATTGTGGCATCTGGATGATATCACCCGCCTTCTACCGGTTCACAGTGCCCTATACTTGCAGTGACCAGGGTGGAAACATGTCGCCAGTATCGACTGAAACAGTCCATACATCACTGGACCAACAGGTAAAATTACTTTTTGGCAAGAACTTGTAATGCTATGAATTGTTTGGACGCATCTAATTGAGTACTGCGAATAATAAATTAATCTTCAGATTTGTTAACTTTTATCCACGAGGAAAAAACTAACGAACATTTTTCACACTTTTGTGGAGAGTAGTTTTTTTGTGATTTTTGTGTACTATGTGTGTTCCCCGTTTTGGGATGGAAAATTTGATGCTTAAAAGTGGACACGAAGCCATTTGAGATCGTTAGAATTGAGACTTATAACTGGGGAGCTATTAGAAATAATTACCCAAATTATCACAGATAAATTAAACTAAATCAATTTAACTGAAGTAAACTAAAATGGTGTTGGAATTTAGGCTACATGTGACATCAGTGACACTTGTTCGGCCTGGGCTTTCAACTACTCAACGATAGACCGAAAAACTTCAATCCAGCAATCATTCGAGCTAGTTTGCGATGACGAAATCTACCTGAAGCTCCACGGCAGCATGTACTTCCTCGGAATGTGCTTCGGATCCGTTCTCGGCGGCTACCTCAGCGACAGAATGGGAAGGAAGAAGTTTTTTCAACTTTCTTGTATCTTTGGGATAAGTTTGTCAATTTGGATGGCTTTCAGTGAGTCACTTATAGTCCATTTGATCTGCTTCTGTGCTGTCAGCGCTTTCGAGTTGGGCGCAGTCATTTCAATGTTCGCCCTAGTTGTCGAAGCCGGATCGGCTAACTCCCGGTTCGCAGCATCCCTACTTTCTGGTCTATCTTTCACAGTTGGCGTTCCCCTATGCGCGCCTCTGGCAATGATCTTTGAAAACTGGCGACATCTAGTTCTGGCAATCTCGTGTCTCATCTTTCTCGGGCTGTTTGTATCTCTGTTTATAGACGAAAGCCCGCGGTGGTTATGGGCCGAAGGAAGGTACGAAGAAGTGTTTGACTCTGTGAAAAAAGCCTATCGACTCAAAAACGAATCTGTTCCGCCCGAAACCAAAAAAGTTTTCGCGGCTCTTATTTTGAAAGGAAATGACAAAAAAGGCATGATTTCATCTATTACAAGAGACTTTAAAAACGTATTTGGCTTACCGTGGTTCAAAGGCGCAGAAAACAATGAGAAAAAATATTCGAAAGAAGAGAATCCACAATTTTCGACCAAGTCAATCTGGCTTATTTGGAAATATCCGACACTTTGCGTGCGACTGGTTATTTTAACTCTTCATTGGATATGTGTGAATTCTTTATACTATGGGCTGACTTTCGGGGCCGAAATGCTAGAGCAAAATATCTATATTTTCGTGGTCACTCAAGGGTTATCGGGGTTGGTAGGAAACATTTCTGGTTTTATTTTTTTGAAATATTTCGGCCGGAAAACAATTGCGGTGGCAGCTCTCGCCTTTTCGGCTTCTTGTTACCTAGCTTGCGCCTTTATCTCGCTGTCAAACGTAGCAGTTATCTTGGCTATAACCTTTTCGGCCAGAGCAGCTTTGGAATTGTTCTTTATTCTATGTTACCTTTGGACCGCAGACCTAATGCCGACTGTAATCCGAACTTCGGCTCTCGGGTTTGCGTCACTGGTGGCTCGGATTTTTGGCCTGGCATTACCATTTGTGGATTATTTAGAACGAATTCACAACTCGGGTCCACTTTTGTTCTTTGCGGTTTTCGGATATGCTGTGCTGATGTCGACATTTTTGCTTCCCGAATCGAAAGGACAGCAGCTCCCGAACTCACTCGAAGAGGGAAACAACTTCGGGAGAAAGAAAAGCCAAAATAAACTAGAAATTCTTCGCACAAAGATGGATTGTGTATCTGGCACAGAAGTTTGATCAATTATATCACAAAAAAGCTATTTTTTATACATCAAATTGTACAGCATCAGAATGCACACCTTTCTAACCAATTATTATTCAGATAGACATCGAAAGTGTTTTAATTGATATAACAGTTGTTGTGGATCGGTGCCAAGCAAGAAAAAAACTACGAACATTTTTGATGAGACCGCTGAGCTGATATTTTGCCTTGAAGTTGGTCAGTATTCAATAGAAGTCGAACGTAGTGAAAACTCTAATATTGGTCGTGATGTTTTTTTTTTCAGCGAAAATTTTAAAATTTTTACAAGCTCAAATTTGAGTTTTTGTCGCATTTCGACTTTGATTTTTCTTAGAAGTTCAGCTCCTTTTGCTAAAAGGAAGGGAAACTCCACTATCGAACGGCAAAAGTGTAAAAATCACGAGAAACAGTGGATTTAAAAAAATTAACTTTTTATCCAGTTTTTTTTTCCAATTGGGTCAATTTCTTCAACAATAGGCAGTCATAAGTTTATCGGAATTTCAAAGGGCTCTAAGTTCGTCTATTTTTTGCTTTGAAAGTCGGAAGTCAAGATTTAAAAAAAAAACAGTTTCTATTTTTTCTGTTTAATTGCGTTCATTGATTCAGTTGTAACTGTCTGTTGGCTACGGTTGAGTGCTTTTCCACAGTTGCGTAAACTCGAATTGCTTAAAAAGACAGCCAAAAATATAGAATTAGGTTTCTTTTAGTTCAGCTTTACAAGCTTAGGCAAGGTTTTTTTTCCTCCAAGATTCAACTAAGAGTGTTAACTTGGATGAGTTCTCTTGTTTACATTCACCATCCTTCTCTTAAATTATCTGTTGGCATAGGTTATTGTAGCGTTTACACCGTTTTATGCAAGTGTACACTGATTTATGCGAGCTAGTTTCCAGAATGAGAACAACTGTATTCTAAGTTTAATTCAAATTGCTCTGGTGCTGAAACTGCAAGTTGCAAGTGGGTTGTTAGTTTGATGAGTATGATTGGTTAGTATTCAATATTTTATAGAAATAAAATATCAGAATAATATCCAATAATAAATTCGAGTTTAGATCTGGTTTCATTACTCTCTTTTTGATGCAGGTAATTCTGATAACTTCCTTGCATCATAGATAATCGGATATCGCTCTCAGAGAGAACAACTTTCAAAAACATTGGGGTTCACTCTTTTGTTGTCCAGAAAATAAGGTTGATCTGTTTTGAGTTCTTATGTTTGCCATTTTGAAAATGTTAAGGGGTTCAACAATCCATTCGAAATCGTTGAGCAAGAGTATCTTCGTGGCAAAGATTGGTATCAATCGTTTGCGAGTCCACCAAATTATCGAAATCTCTTGCGGTTTGCAGGTACTTCTGTGCTCCATTTTTTTTTTCAAACTGTCAATCTATAGGATTCAATCCAATAGCTGATGCTGATTTATTAATAAAAAATGCCATGATTGGTTGGAGTACTTGAGCATTATTTCTGCCTCGCTCAAACAGTCTGAAAAATTATTAGCTGCATTTAAATATTAAAAAAAAGATAATAAGGAGATACCGAATGCTCAAAGGAACGGTCGGACCTATTTTTTTTCGAACGGGGGACAGTATTCGAAAATTCAAAAAAAAATTGATAAAAACAGCCAGTTTTGATTAGTTTGAAAGGCGTTGGTTGATTAGGCATTTTTGCGCTATCAATCCTCTGTGCATGCGAACAGCCCCCGAAAGTTAGGTAATGATATCAGAAGTGTCGAACTTGTATAAATTTACCCGCTTTTATGTACACTACTTTGAGGCGTTCAACAGCTGCAAAAAAGTAATAATTTTTAACATTTTTTTCAATTCAAATTTGTCTTCTGAAAGTTTTTGAATTTTTTTGAAGTTTTGGTGTCTAAAATAGAGCTAAAAACTCCAAAAAAAATTAACTTGCATTAACCTGGTTTTTAAACAAGTTTTTCTCGACACCGGTAATTTTTTTTGCAAATGTTTTACGATGGTTCAAATTACGACTGAAAGGGCTTTAATATGATACATTACTCAACCCAGTCCGATGATTATTTTTGGTACCTGATTTTGCGTGGAAAACAAAAAAACTAAAACACACCCGAATACAAAGTTCCTCCCCTACAGGTTACTTAAAAATCTACAGTGCTTCTAACTACAGACAGCTAAATTTTAAACGTACAGCTAACTACGTTGTGTATCCATGCTACCTACGTACAATTGTACCACAATAAAAGCATTAATTGTTGCAAACGCATAACAAAAGAAAAAATTGTAAAAACAGTTCAAAAAAGAAGTTTTTTGCTTTTTGTTAAAGTCTTTCTTGAACTCTTCTAAACTTTTCATGATTTCAAGGTTTTTTTGTAGACGATATGTCGCTTTTTATTTTAAATTCTATGTTGTCCTGGGTTTCTGACAGATTGTAGTACGAGCAAGATCGGCAGATTGAATACTAGCTCTAAGACCCATTGGTATCGATCATAGAACTGAGGGAGATAAGATGACCATGACGGAGAAAAGATGATCATAGAGTAACCGATGATCAAGTAAGGGCAGAATCGGCAGCTAGAGTGGGCATGTTCTTCGTTCTAGAAAAAGGGATTAGGAGATCTGAAAAAGACCCAGCCTGTCCGTTGTCGGGCCAAGAATACATTTTTCGAATATCTTGTCTACAAAACGTCTTTCTCCGAAAAATTTCGGGGAACCCACATTCCTCTTTAACTGGAAAGATTTTTTGGGTCGTCAAGATTTCCTCTGGGGGGGTTTTTGACAAAAATTGGGTTGTCAGTTGATCACGTCCGACCTCATGCTACAATCTTTTACTGGTCCGCTGTGACCGGTGGGCTGTCCAAATCCGTGGTTTACTGATTTTCGCCTACTACAAATCTTAAATGGGTGGAAGTCTCGGGCAGTGGATGAGAGCCTAAATAAAGCACCGAGTAATGATTCGTCAATTTGTAAAAAATAGTCGTTTAAAATATTGAATCCAGAGTAGCCAAATCTAGAGAAAGAGAGGAACCTGGAGAGACCGGAAAAAATTTGGCGGTTGATTCGAATGGGTCGAAGGCTATTGGGTGCCGTGTATGCGTTTCGTCTGCTTTGTCAAGAAGTTTGGCAAGTATTTTTCTCACTGGCTTTCTATCATGTAAATTTGAACAATCATGCGGCTTTTCTCAGCGTGCGTGATGGATCCGGAAAAAGTTACTCTTGAAAACCGAACCAATTGCGTTAAAGAAGATATTTGAACGTGACAGTTTTGTCCGAGAAGTCAAATAATCTTGCTTTGACTATGTTGTAATCAGGATAGCCTTTTTCCGATTTACCGATTTCATTATTAAGGTTACCTGCTGTGGCTATCGAGAGATGGTGGAAGACGAAGATTTTTGAGTGGCATGGATTGTTGTAGGTATAGGTTGGACTCTGTACCCATGATCGTCACCGTTTAGTGCGAAGTATACGTCCTCTCGTTGCAACTCCCCATTCTGAGCCCATTTTTTTGATAGGATCGACTTGCCTTGATTTAAACAGTTATCATTAGCCATCAAATTTTTCCATAGAGAATTAAGTTAGCTTATCATTTAAAATTTTCTTTCGAAAATGTGCACTCGATAGACGCTTGTTTAGCAATTCACTAAATTTGGATGAGCTTCTTGAATGATACTTGAAAACAAGATTTAAATTTTTTGGATGACGAAGCTTTGCCTTTACAGTATATAAAATTCTTTCTCCATGTCCATTCGATCTGTTATTTTCAACATTCAAATATATAAGTTTTATATTGTTTTGTTCACAAAAGGAGTTGAATTTGTATAAAAAGCAACATGACTATGATTGGCTTTGATTTTTTAAAGAAACCATTAGATGGCAAATATCGTTTAAAAATTTGTGAACAAAAATGATGAGGTGTTATGTACAATTTTTGCAGGAGCATTTTCTGTCAAGCGATATACGGACAACAAAACATATTTCTTTATTCTTCAAGTTTTTTCCTACAGTCAGTTAGAGGTGAAACTTTTTCTCTATTAAGAAATGATTTTTTGAATTTTTTTTTGTTTGAAAAAACTCCAATAAACCTTATAGATTTCTACCGGCTTTTTTCTAGTTGGAAAAGAATTTCCCATGTTGATATTTTTTTTCTGCAGCCGTAAATTTCTGCATTTGGATTTATTCCGCCGTAAACGTGCCGTGCTTAGATTTATTTTTACGAGGAAAGATATAAGCGACCACCAGATTGCTGCCCAATAAAAAAACGTCACTTTCTTGATGGTCTCTGGCGTATTTCTCAACAAAAGATCTATCAACTCGCAGAGGTCCTTTAATTGAATTGAAGTGACTAACCATGCAACAAGTTTTTCTTCGTTGGCCAAAATTCTGATACTTTGCTTGATCAAAAGTTTTTGAGATCAATGGGAGAACTAGGAGGGTTTAAGTCTGTTCCGTATTTGTTAGCAAGGCCTGATGACACGGAAAAAAACACATCATCTTTGAATTAGAAAGCAATTATGTAATCGAATTTCTGAAACCGTGGGGATTGATGAAATATTGAGCCACTTAAGGAAATTCAGCTTTAAAACTAATGACTTTTGTTCATCATAACAAAATAAAGTAGAACGTTGTCCAAAAAACTTATTCGCTTAAAAAGACACCGAATTGTCAAGTGGTATACAGTTTGAATCGAAATTTCCTCAACTAAAATTATTTTTGTTACAGATCTTAAGTAATAGTCTGACCATCGAAATGATAGCGGCAATAAACTCAAGTTTAAATGGGATTGAAAACCCTGGCTTAGATTTCTGACCAATCAAATTGATCGAAGATAAATCTCCCGACGGAGTATTTATACTCAAAACTGAATTTACAGCGACTGGTGATTTATGAGCGATTTTGTAACTAACAGTAACCTGATCTGATCTTTTTTTAATAAGTACAAGTATTTTTTTATTGAGGCTAAAGCAAAATGTCGTCATATTGTGAGCGAAAGAAATGTTTGGCGGCAGGTTATTTTGACAGCAAATTGGTAAAAGTCCATATCTTTTACTGTCAAATGTGAATTTTCAAAAATAAAATTGGGAAAAACCTATTCACACATCGGGTTAATTTGTTTGAATTGCTTTTTCTCATGCTTTACTGACAATGCTGAATGTAGGGCTTTACGTTTTTTGACAATCACAAAATTAAATTCAATTTGAGATAATTT